GGAATATTATAAATAAAGTTGCCATGGACTTTGCTGTACAAATCTTTTTGTGGTATAAATGTTTTCATTTATCATGGGTAAATTCTTAGGAATAAAACTGGGTCATGGGATAGGTGTATATTTAATTTCACAAAAAATGCCAGACCTTTATCACAAGTGTTTATGCCATTTTACACTATCACAAGCAACATGTGAGAGTTCTGGTTACAACCTTGCCAACACTTGCTGTCTTTAGTCTTCTTAATTTTAGCCATTCTGGTGATGGCGTAACAACTTTTCATTGTGGTTTTAATTTACATTTCCCTGATGACTAATGATGTTGAGCACAGAAAGACAAGAAAAAGAAAACAGACAAATAATAAACAGAGAGAACAAACAAAATAAAGGGTCAGACTTAAGCCTTAATATGTCAGTAATCACATGCTGTGTGCTCAGTCATGTCCGACTCTTTGTGATCCTATAGACTACGTAGCCCACCAGGCTCCTCTGTCCATGGGATTTTTCAGGCAAGAATACTGGAGTGGGTTGCCATACCCTCCTCCAGGGGATCTCCCTGATCCAGGGACTGAACCTGGGTCTCCTGTGTTGACAGGCAGTCTTTTCCACCAAGCCACCTGGGAAACTCAATAATTACCTTAACCTAAATGACCTAAATAGACCAATTAAAAGATAGAGATTGGCTTAATGGGAAAAAAGCATAACCCAACTATATGCTGTCTATAACAAACTCACTTTACTATTTTTTAAAATATCTATTTGGCTGCACTGAGTCTTAGTTGCAGCATACAATATCTTTGATCTTTGTTGTAGCCTGTAGGATCCTTAGTTGTGGCATGCAAACCCTTAGTTGTGATATGTGAGATCTAATTCCTTGCCCAGAGATTGAACCCAGTCCCCCTGCAATGAGAGCACAGAGTCTTAGCCACTGGCCAACTAGGGGAGTCCCTAAACTCACTTTAAATAAAACAATAAAGGCAGATTAAAAGCAAAAGGATGGAAAGATAAAACATGCAAAATTAAAGGAAAGCAGGAGTGGCTAGAGTAATATAAAGTAAACTTCAGAGCGAAAAAATTATCAGAAACAATTACCTTATAAAGTGATAAAAAGGGTCAATTCATCAAGAATATATAGAAATCATAAATGGATATGCAATAAACAACAGAGCTGAAAAGCATGAAGCAAAAACTGATTAAACTTAAGGAAGAAATAGGTAAGTCCACAATTAGGTAAGTTGGAGACTAAAGTACCTTTCTCTGAACACTTGACAGAATAACTAAACAGAAAATCAGCAAGGATATAGAAGAACGCACCAGCACCACTGACTAACAGATTCTAAATAACATTTATAGACCACCGCACCCAACAACAGCAGAATACACATCCTTTTAAATTGCCCACAGAACATATACCAAGACAGACCGCATGCTGGGCCTTAAAAATTTTTTTTTAAGAACTGGGATCATTCCATCCACAATGGAATCAAATTAGAAATCAGAAAGATAACAGGAATACAACATACTTCAAAGTAATCCATGGGTTGAAGAAGTCTCAGGGGAATTTTTAAAAATATGTTGAACTGAATGAAAGCAAACATAGATAATATCCAACTTTGTAGGATACAGCTAAAGTCACACCGAGAGGGAAAAGTTTAGCACTAAATTTAGCACTGAATTCATACAGTAAAAAAGAGGAAAATAATCTCAAATCAATTATTTAAGCTCCCACTGAGAATACACAAGAAAAGAACCAAATAAAGCAAGCAGAAGGAAGGAAATAATAAAGATAAGAGCAGAAATAAATGAAATTGAAAACATAAAAACAATAGAAACAATAAAACAAAGAGCTGACTCTTTGGAAAAAGTAATAAAATTAACAACATCCTAGCAAGACTCACAAATCAGAGAGAAGATACACTATAGACCATGTAAACATAAAAAGGATCACTAAGTGAATACCACAAACAACTCTACACACACAAATTTGACAACTTAGATAAAAGGGACTAATTCCTTGAAAAACACAAACTACAGCAACTCAGCCAATATGAAATAGATAATTTGAATAGCTCTATAGCTATTGAGATAATAGAAGTTGTAGTTTTAAAACTCCCCCAAAGAAATTTCCAGATGGTTTCACAGAGAATTCTACCACACATTTAAAGAAGAATGAATTACAACCCAGATTACTGTACTCAGCAAGGATCTCATTCAGATATGAAGGAGAATTCAAAAGCTTTACAGACAAGCAAAAACTGAGAGAATTCAGCATCACCAAACCAGCTCTTCAACAAATGCTAAAGGATCTTCTCTAGACAGGAAACACAGAAAGTTTGTATAAACGCGAACCCAAAACAACAAAGTAAATGGCGATGGGACCATACCTATCAATAATTACCTTAAATGTAAATGGGTTGAATGCCCCAACCAAAAGACAAAGACTGGCTGAATGGATACAAAAACAAGACCCCTATATATGCTGTCTACAAGAGACCCACCTCAAAACAAGGGACACATACAGACTGAAAGTGAAGGGCTGGAAAAAAATATTTCACACAAACGGAGACCAAAAGAAAGCAGGAATCGCAATATTCATATCAGATAAAATATGAACCTTAAAATAAAGGCTGTGAAAAGAGACAAAGAAGGACACTACATAATGATCAAAGGATCAATCCAAGAAGAAGATACAACAATTATAAATATATATGCACCCAACATAGGAGCACCGCAATATGTAAGGCAAATGCTAACAAGTATGAAAGGGGAAATTAACAATAACACAATAATAGTGGGAGACTTTAATACCCCACTCACACCTATGGATAGATCAACTAAACAGAAAATTAACAAGGAAACACAAACTTTAAATGACACAATGGACCAGCTAGATCTAATTTATATCTATAGGACATTTCACCCCAAAACAATCAATTTCACCTTTTTCTCAAGTGCACACAGAACCTTCTCCAGAATAGATCACATCCTGGGCCATAAATCTAGCCTTGGTAAATTCAAAAAAATTGAAATCATTCCTGTCATCTTTTCTGACCACAATGCAGTAAGATTAGATCTCAATTACAGGGGGAAAAAAACTATTAAAAATTCAAACATATGGAGGATAAATAACATGCTTCTGAATAACCAACAAATCATAGAAGAAATCAAAAAAGAAATTAAAATATGCATAGAAACGAATGAAAATGAAAACACAACAACCCAAAACCTATGGGACACTGTAAAAGCAGTGCTAAGGGGAAGGGTCATAGCATTACAGGCCTACCTCAAGAAACAAGAAAAAAGTCAAATAAATAACCTAACTCTACACCTAAAGCAACTAGAGAAGGAAGAAATGAAGAACCCCAGGGTTAGTAGAAGGAAAGAAATCTTAAAAATTAGGGCAGAAATAATGCAAAAGAAACAAAAGAGACCATAGCAAAAATCAACAAAGCTAAAATCTGGTTTTTTGAAAAGATAAACAAAATTGACAAACCGTTAGCAAGTCTCATTAAGAAACAAAGGGAGAAGAATCAAATCAACAAAATTAGAAATGAAAATGGAGAGATCACAACAGACAACACTGAAATACAAAGGATTATAAGAGACTACTACCAGCAGTTCTATGCCAATAAAACGGACAACTTGGAAGAAATGGACAAATTCTTAGAAAAGTATAACTTTCCAAAACTGAACCAGGAAGAAATAGAAGATCTTAACAGACCCATCACAAGCAAGGAAATCGAAATTGTAATCAGAAATCTTCCAGCAAACAAAAGCCCAGGACCAGATGGCTTCACAGCTAAATTCTACCAAAAATTTAGAGACGAGCTAACACCTATCTTACTCAAACTCTTCCAGAAAATTGCAGAAGAAAGTAAACTTCCAAACTCATTCTATGAGGCCACCGTCACCGTAATTCCAAAACCAGACAAAGATGCCACAAAAAAAAGAAAACTACAGGCCAATATCACTGATGAACATAGATGCAAAAATCCTTAACAAAATTCTAGCAAACAGAATCCAATAACATATTAAAAAAAATCATACATCATGACCAAATGGGCTTTATCCCAGGAATGCAAGGATTCTTTAATATTCACAAATCAATCAATGTAATACACCACACTAACAAATTGAAAGATAAAAACCATATGATTATCTCAGTAGATGCATAAAAAGCCTTTGACAAAATTCAACATCCATTTATGATAAAAACTCTCCAGAAAGCAAGAATAGAAGGAACATACCTCAACATAATAAAAGCTATATATGACAAACCCACAGCAAACATTATCCTCAATGGTGAAAAATTGAAAGCATTTCCCCCCAAATCAGGAACAAGACAAGGGTGCCCACTCTCACCACTACTATTCAACATAGTTTTGGAAGTTTTGGCCACAGCAATCAGAGCAGAAAAAGAAATAAAAGGAATCCAGACAGGAAAAGAAGAAGTGAAACTCTCACTGTTTGCAGATGACATGATCCTCTACATAGAAAACCCTGAAGACTCTACCAGAAAACTACTAGAGATAATCAATGAAAAATCAACTTTTGAACTGTGGTGTTGGAGAAGACTCTTAAGAGTCCCCTGGACTGCAAGGAGATCCAACCAGTCCACGCTAAAGGAAATCAGTCCTAAATATTCATCGGAAGGACTGAAAGTTTCAGCTAAAGCTGATGCTGGGAAAGATTGAAGGCAGGAGAAGGGGACAACAGAGGATGAGGTGGTTGGATGGCATCACGGTCTCGATGGACACGAGTTTGAGCAATTTTCTGGAGTTGGTGATGGACAGAGAAGCCTGGCTCGCTGCTGCCCATGGGGTCGCAAAGGGTCGGACACGACTCAGCGACTGAATTGAACTGACCTTATGTTAGGTATCAAAACACTCTCTCAACAGCCAGTAACAAGCATTTAGGGGCGGAGGCTCCGAGTCCCCGCCCCTCCCGGCCCGCCCCTAGGCCCAGAAAGGAGGCGGGGCCCCGCAGACGCCGCGGCGGGCGAAATGCTGCAACCGGCTGTACGGCTGGTGTGGCTGAGTCAGGTGCCCTACGCCGAGTTGCTGGCGTTGCAGCAGCGCTGGCTGCAGCGGCTGCAGGCCGAGCCAGGGCCCGAGGCGGGTGCGCTTCTGCTCTGCGAGCCCGCGGGACCCGTGTATACCACCGGGTTGCGCGGCGGCCTGACGTCCGAGGAGACAGCGCGACTGCGGGCCTTGGGTGCCGAGGTGCGCCCCCTTGGCCGGGGCGGCCTAGCCACCTTCCACGGCCCGGGCCAGCTACTGTGCCACCCGGTACTCGACTTACGACCCCTCGGCCTGCGCCTGCGCACCCACGTGGCGGCGCTGGAGGCGTGCGCCGTGCGCCTGTGCGAGCTCCAGGGCCTGCCGGGCGCCCGCGCGCGGCCCCCACCGTACACCGGCGTTTGGCTGGGCGAGCGCAAAATCTGCGCGATCGGTGAGCGCCTCGGGGAGGGGCTTGGCGGGGCCGGACCAATGGTGGTGAGGGCAGAGCTCCGGGCGAGCGGGGTGTCACTGGCGCGGGCTTTGAATCATCTGCCCACTGCCTTCAAGAGTTTCTAAGGCTCTCCTCACTGATATCTTCAGAACCAGAAGGTCACGTCGGAGGTCACGTGGTTCAACACTCTCATTTTTAGAAATGGAGAGACAACGAGAAGTGAGTTGCCAGGTTACTTCACAATATCTGGACAATAAGGGTGAAAATTTTTTTTTCATACTTTTTTTTTTTTAAACAGTGGAATCTTTGTTAAAGGACCTTTCTGTAATGTCCATAGTAAGTGCAGCCACTGTGGAGCCACAGGCATCTCCTCTCATTTTGTCTCCCTCCCCTGATCTGTGGACAACCTTTTGGGTGCTCTAGAAACAGAATTGGAAAATAGTGGTCTAGTCCAGTTTCTTCATCTCACTGAGGACCATCATGAAGCCTGGGGAGCAAGGGTGTCTATTCTAAGATCTGTTGATTTGCCTTGCAGGTGTCCGCTGTGGAAGGCACGTTACGTCCCACGGTCTGGCGCTGAACTGTTCTACGGACCTCACGTGGTTTGAGCACATTGTGCCCTGTGGGCTGGTTGGGACAGGCGTCACTTCCCTGAGTGAGGAGCTCCAGAGGCATGTCACTGTGGATGAAGTAATACCACGTTTCCTTGAGGCCTTTAAAGAGACCTACAAGTGCACATTGACCTCAGAAGACAGCCCCAGCTGAAAGGCGTTTATATTATCTCACCCTGGAGGTCTTACCTTGGAAAGCACCGCACCAGACTTGGAGTCACTGGAACCCATATTCTAGAACTGGCCCTGTCATTCACACATCATGAGACTGTGGGCAGATCATGAGCTCTGGGCCCTTGGTTCCATATGTATATGGTTTATTTATATCTTCCCAACCTACCTAAGATATAGTTATGAAAACATTGTGAAAAGTATACTATATGAATATAAGGCATTAGCACTACTATTGACACCCATTTCTCAGCTCAGAAAAACTGAGGTATCATAGGGTGTCATTTCTCAAATATTTCCTCAATACTGTACTTAATTGGGAGAAGTCTGGGCTCCAGTTCCTTTGCTTTTTGTAAGAATCATTTTTCAGGATCATCCAGGTGAAGGTGATGTAATGTGAATTTTTCACATTCTTAGGAGACCTGGGAGCTTTCTGCATAACAGGGAAAGGGAAAGGCTTCTTTAAAGAGTAATATGGGATTCTGTCTTCCTGGGTTGGATTCCTCAAGCGTGATGGCTTTTTTAGTTAGGTAACCTGAGCTAGGCCAAAGGCTAGGGGAAAGAGGAGAACAATTTCTGACCCTGTACAAATGCCAAAAATAGAAGGTTTTTTAAAAAAATATTAGATCTCTATAAAGGTTGTATGTTAATTATCTATAACAAGTCACCCCAAAGCTTAATGACTTAAAAGAATAAACATTTATTATCTCATATACTGTGGTTTGGATATTTGGAAGAAGCTTAGCTGAGTGGTTCTGGGTCAGGGTCTCTTCTGAGATGCAATCAAGATGTCAGCTGTTGGGGGACTTCCCTGGTTCTTCAGTGGTTAAGACTCTGTGCTGCCAATGCAGGGGCCACAGGTTCCACCCCTGGCTGGGGACGTAAGATCCCACATGCTGCACGGCTCAGCTAAAAGATTAAAAAAAAAAAAAAAAAACAGAAAGATGTTAGGCGGGGCAGCTCTCATCTGAAGACTTGACTAAGGCTGTGGAATCAGCTTCCAAGATGACTGACTCACATGCTTGGTTAGTACTGGTTATTAACAGGAGGTTTTAATTCCTCTTCACTATGTTGTTGTTCAGTCGCTCAGTAGTATCTGATTCTTTGCGACCCCGTGGACTGCAGCACACCAGGCTTCCCTGTCCATCACCAACTTCCAGAGCTTGCTCAAACTCACATCCATTGAGTTGATGATGTCATCCAACCATCTTGGCCTCTATTGTTCCCTTCTCCTGTCTTCAATCTTTCCCAGCATCAGGGTCTTTTCCAAGTAGTCAGATCTTTGCATCAGATGGCCAAAGTATTGGAGCTTTAATTTCAGCATCAGTCCTTCCAATAAATATCTAGGATTGATTTTCTTTAGGATTGATTGGTTTCATCTCTTTGCAATCCAAGGGACTCTCAAGATTCTCCTCCAATACCACAGTTCAAAAGTATCAGTTCTTTGGCACTCAACTTTCTTCATGGTCCAGCTCTCACATCCATACATGCTACTGGAAAAACCATAGCTTTGACCAGACGGACGTTTGCTGGCAATGTCTCTGCTTTTTAATAGGCTGTCTAGGTTGGTCATAGCTTTTCTTCCAAGGAACAAGCATCTTTTAATTTCATGGCTGCAGTCACCATCTGCAGTGATTTTGGAGCCCCAAAAAATAAAGTCTCTCCATGTTTCCATTGTTTCCCCATCTATTTGCCATGAAGTGATGGAACCAGATGCCATGATCTTCATTTTCTGAATGTTGAGCTTTAAGACTCTAGTTCCTCTTCACTTTCTGCCATAAGGGGGGGTGTCATGTGCATATCTGAGGTTTTTGATATTTCTCCTGGCTATCTTGATTCCATTTTGTTCTTCATCCAGCCCAGCATTTCCCATGATGTCCTCTGCATAGAAGTTAAATAAGCAGGGTAACTATATGTAGCTTTGATGTACTCCTTTCCCAATTTGGAACCAGTCCATTGTTCCATGTTCTAACTGTTGCTTCTTGACCTCCATGCAGGTTTCTTAGGAGGCAGGTAAGGTGATCTGGTATCCCCATCTCTTTAAGAATTTCCCAGTTTGTTGTGATCCACACAGTCAAAGGCTTTAGCATTGTCAATGAAGCAGATGTAGATGTTCTTCTGGAATTCTCTTGCTTTTTCTATGATCCAACAGATGTTGGCAATTTGATCTCTGGTTCCTCTGCCCTTTCTAAATCCAGCTTGAATATCTGGAAGTTCACGGTTCACATACTCTTGAAGCCTGGCTTGGAGAATTTTGAGCATTATTTTGCTAGTGTGTGAGATGAGTGCAATTGTGCAGTAGTTTGAACATTCTTTGGCATTGCCTCTCTTTGGGATTGGAATGAAAACTGACCTTTTGCAGTCGTATGGCCACTGCTGAGTTTTCCAAATTTGCTGGCATATTGAGTGAAGCACTTTAACAGCATCATCTTTTAGGATTTGAAACAGGTCAGCTGGAATTTCATCACCTCCACTACCTTTGTTCATAGTGATGCTTCCTAAGGCCCACTTGACTTTGCACTCCAAGATGGCTGTAGGTGAGTGATCACACCATCGTCGTTAACTGGGTCATTAAGATCTCTTTTGTATAGTTTTTCTGTGTATTTTTACCACCTCTTCTTAATATCTTCTGCTTCTGTTAGGTCCATACCATTTCTGTCCTTTATTGTGCCTATCTTTGCATGAAATATTCCCTTGGTATCTAATTTTATTGAAGAGATCTCTAGTCTTTCCCATTCTGTTGTTTTCCTCTATTTGTTTACATTGGTCACTGAGGAAGGCTTTCTTATCTCTCCTTGATAATCTTTGTTTTTTGGTTTTTTTTAATAAAAAATTTTATTGGAGAAAAATAGAACCACCACGTACACAGGGAAAAGAGCACAAAAATTCAGCTGATACAGAACTGAAAGTCACAACTACCCAATGTTGTTTGTGATTACTTTTCAATTTCTTAAATGGCTTCCCTCAATTTTTTAAATAGCCTTGCCAATTTTCAGCTGAAATAGAATCAAGTTTTCAAAAAAGTAAGAGCCTCAGTGAAGGGACCAGCTTTTAAGATAACAAAGGTGACACCAAGGGTCTCCTAATAGGACCAACTCTACCAAAAAATTCCTGAAGCACATAACTACTGAGTCTGGTAGAACAGTAGCTCAGAGACAATCAGGGATTAGTTAGAACACTGACTCAGATGGTCCAGTATGCACAGAGGGCAAACAAAAAAGCTGCATTTCCCTGTCGGATGAGTTCACGTAAGAAAACCAAGGAGGTGCTAAGAAAATACAGGCAATGGCTGCTCAAAATAATTAAGAAGGCATTCTAAATACCACATATTATTAGGCAACAGTGTGTAAAGTGATGCAATTAGAAAACAGACAACTTAAAAAAAAATATGGTTACAGGTCTTTGAGAACTCAAGAAAACAATCAATAACAAACACAAGAGCTGAAAGTCTTCTCAGCTGAGGGTTGAAAGTGAAAGTGAATGTGAAGTTGCTCAATCGTATCCGACTTTGCGCTATGTGGACTTTGCGACCCCGTGGACTGGAGCCCACCAGGCTTCCTCCGTCCATGGGGTTCTCTGGGCAAGAATACTGGAGTGGGTTGCCATTTCCTTCTCCAGGCTTGATAATCTTTGAAACTCTGCATTTAGATGGGTATATCTTTCCTTTTCTCCTTTGCCTTTTTCTTCTCTTCTTTTCTCAGCTATTTCTAAGCCCCCCTCAGACAACCATTTTGCCTTTTTGCATTTCTTTTTCTTGGGGATGGTTTCACTTTTTAGGGCTGCTTGAATATTCTTATGGCATGGCAACTGGCTTTCCCCAGAGCAATTGATGCCAGCAAGAGACAAGGTAGAAGCTACAGTGTCTTTTATGACCCAGCATTGGAAGTCACACAGTCATTTCTGCAGTCTCCTAATATGTGAGCCCTATTTATTCAGTATGGAAGGGACTACACAAAGGTGATAGGAGGTGCAGATCATTAAGGGTCATCTTGGAGACTGGCCACCACAGGCAGTTAAGGTAGAAAGAGCCTTGAATAAGAAGCCAGGCAACCTCAGTTCTCGTCCTGGCTCTGTAAAACAGTAACCAACGACATTCAAGATGGCAGTTGCTTCCTGAGGGACTGCAGGGAACAGAGCTCCCTGCTGTTGATTGACGTGTACTGGAGGTGAGCCACCCAAGTGTTCGTTTGTGCCACAACCAGTGAAGCCCTCACCCTTTAGAGCCCGTATGCCACAACAAGGGAAGCCAGCACCATGAGAAGCCTGCTCGCTGCAACTAGAGAAAGCCCTCGCACAGCAATGAAGACCCAGAGCAATCATAAATAAATGAATAAATAGTTAAGATGGTAAATTTAAAAAATCCAAGAGTGGAGCTGCAGCTGGCTCCTGAGCAAAACCAGAACTTGTCGTCCTTTGGAGCCCACATGGTCTCTTCTGTTCTCTGCCGTGCTTCCTGGTGTTTTCCCTTCATTCTGTCACTCCAGTCCAGCTTCCTCTGTTTCCCAGGCCATGTGGTAGAAGATGGCTTCTGCTGCTGTTACCCATGTATGTTGGAGTAGAGTCAAGGAAAATCCCCAGGTTTCCGGGTGCTAGAGGTAATGCTGGAACAGAGAACACTGGATGATGACCAAGTTTGGAGAGGATGATAACGAGTTTAGTTTTTGATGAATCAAGGTTGAGATACTTGTGGACAATGCATGTGAAGAGGCCCATTTGGGTCTGTGGATCCGGAGCACAGCTGTCATGAGTGACAGTTTATGTCTGGAAGCCCAAAGAGAGAGGGGGAGGGCAGAGGGCTGATAAGTGTGAGGTGCAGGCCAAGGAGACCGAGACGCAGTCTAGGCAGAGACGTAGCACGGGACCCAGAATGAGACAATACGCCGATCTCATTCACTCTTCTGGCTGCAAAGCAAGATAGGTTTATTTTACAGATGAAAAAACTGGCCTGGGAGGCTGGGTGACTTCTACGAGGTCGTGCACTTAGGGGCAGAGTCAGTCCCTGGCTCCTCAGCTGGGTCTTCGCGCTCTCACACAGCTCTCTCTGAAGGGTGAGCAGGGAGAGCCAAGGAGGTCGCCGGGCCTGCGGAACTGGGTCAGGCCACTGCTGCGGGTTCCTGCCTCTCCTTCCTTCCTGGTCAGAGCCCACCTCCGGTTTCCCACCGGGGCCCTTCCTCAAGGAAGGAAGCTCAGCATACGAAGGAGGGTAGTTAACACCCTGGCTTTCCCACCTCCAGAAAGTCTCTTCTTGTTTATTCAGAGTCTTTTCCTCACAAATAAACAAACTGTCCAGGGTCTGGTAAACGAGTGTTAAGTGCGAGAACGTGACCAACTGCAGTGACTTTTCCAGCATCTTGTTCCTCAGCGAGGCTGGCAGGAAACCAAACAGGACCTGCTCTGGCAGTGTGACCAGGTGCACCTCGCTTCATGAAAAAAGCCTCTTTCTGAAAACCTTTATGGAAATCAGATATTTACGATCAAAATGTGATTTTTTTTCACTAAATTGTAATTTACATATTATCACACCATATTATAATAACTAAACAGTTTTTAAAAATAAGAAAAATTTCACTCCCACCTAAAAAACATCCTTTCCATTTGTGTGTGTTTCCAGTACTGGATCATAAGCCGACATCTTTTATTATTCTAGCCCATTATTCTGCCTTATAATTCTATTATTATAAAATGTTATGTGGATAAAATTTTGTATACTCTTTTAAACCAAACATTTTCCCACATTGCCAGATAGTTTTTATATTTTTAATGTCTTAATCTTATTTTTATTTCTTTTAAAACAAATCTTCTAAAAAATATATCAGGAATGCATGCACATGGAATAAAGTTTAAAAGGTACAAGTAGGCTTTCCTCGTGGTTCAGTGGTTAAGGCTCCAAGTTCTCAATGCAGGGGGCACAGATTTGATCCCTGGTCAGGGAACTGAGATTCCCACATGCTGCATGGGCAGCCAGATAAGTAAAAGGTACAAAATGCTACTACTGAATTGTAAGTCTTACTCCTATCCCTTTTCCCTGTATACCCAGGCCCTTTCCTAGAGGCTTAAATGAAGGTAAATGTCTCATTTTTATTCTTCACATGTATTTTATACATATCTAGGCATACATGCATTTTCACGTGGTAGCATATTATACACACATCCCTGTACTTTGGAGATTGCATCAGGTCAGTATATAAAGAACATCCTCATTTTAAAAATGACCATGGAGTATTCCATTCAGTGGATTTATCATGACTTATTTATCTAATCCCCCATTAACGATGTTTCAGTTCAGTTCAGTCACTCAGTCATGTCCGACTCTTTGCGACCCCATGAATCACAGCACACCAGGCCTCCCTGTCCATCACCAACTCCTGGAGTTTACCCAAACTCATGTCCATTGAGTCAGTGATGCCATCCAACAATCTCATCCTCTGTCGTGCCCTTCTCCTCCTGCCCCCAATCCCTCCCAGCATCAGGGTCTTTTCCAACGAATCAACTCATCGCATGAGGTGGCCAGAATATTGGAGTTTCAGCTTCAGCATCAGTCCTTCCAATGAACACCCAGGACTGATCTCCTTTTAGATTATCACTAATTCTTTCTTTTACAACTAAAGCTACAGTGAGAATCCAGGACTTCCTTGGTGGTCCAATGGCTAAGACTCTGAGCTCCCAATGCAGGAGGCCTGGGTTTGATCCCTAGTTAGGGAACTAGCTCCCACATGCCACAGAAAAGATCTCGCATGCCACAATGAAGATCAGAGATGCCATGTGCCACAACTAAGACCTGGTGCAGCCAAATAAAAATAAGTGTATGTGTGTCTGTTTGTATATCTGCATTTTGTAACACATGTGGTGAGCACAGAGTTTGCATTTCTAGAAGTGATTTTCTGAGTCAAAGGATATGTGCATTTTTATTAGATATTGTCATATTGCCTTCCATAAAACTTGCTAATTTATATCCCTATCAGCAATGTATAATGCCTGTTGTATTTGAATTTTAACTGTTTTAGCATCTTAGAGTTTTTCATCATTGAAGCTTTTTATCATAAAATCTTTCCAATGTACAGCAGTGAATCCCATGTACCCATAATTCAGGTAAAACAATCAACTCATGACCAGTCGTAGCTTATCTAAACCTGGGCCCATTTCCTGCCCCCTCCATGGATTATTGTGAAGCAAATCACAGATACCATATTATTTCATGAATGAATATTTCAGTATGTATTCTCAAAAGATAAGGACTCAAAATATAACCACAATATATTAACACATATAAAAATATATCTTCAATATCAACAAATATTCAATTAATACTCATATTTCTCTCTCTTCACCCCTCCCTCTTCCTATAGGTGATTTGTTCAAACCAGAATTGAAACAAAGTCTGAGGTGGGAGGGGGGACCAGGATGGGGAGTACATGTAAATCCATGGCTAATTCATTTCAATGTATGACAAAAACCACTGCAATGATGTAAAGTAATTAGCCTTCAGCTAATAAAAATAAATGGAAAAAAAAAAAAAGAAAGTCTGCACACTGAATTTGGTTCATAAGGCTCATAAATGTCTCTTAAGTCTCCTTTCACCTATAGGTTCCTCCTCCCTCTTTTGAAAATCTTTTCCTCCTGTATTTCCTGAAGATTAAAAAATAGATCCTGATATTTAGTCTGATTCAGATATGATATTTTTTTTTTTCATTTTTTGGCAAGCCTGCTTCATAGGTGATGGTGTGTTTTTACATCAAGTGGCACACAGGATCTGTTTTGGGGTTTAATTTTTTTTCCCTCTTTTCTGTGATGGCTAGACCCTAGATCTATTATTTTAGTGAAAGTGAAAGTCGCTCAGTTGTGTCTGACACTTTGAGACCCCATGGACTATACAGTCCATGGAATTCTCCAGGCCAGAATACTGAAGTGGGTAGCCTTTCCCTCCTCCAGGAGATCTTCCCAACCCCCGATTCTATCATTCCTTCTTCATTTACCAGTAGGAATATATCTATAGAACTGGCAGCTTCAGAAGAACTCAATATGACCTGTAGCATTAGTGTTATCAATATTAGCATTTTATTAGCTTATTGTTTTGTCCATTTTCATTAAAATGTGTACTTAAACACTGTATGAAAGAGTAGCTTTTACAGCTGCCTTGAAGTTTAAACTGAGTTTAAATTTGAAACATATTTAGATTATTAGCACTGAGTACTTCCTTTAAAAAGGGGGTTCATACATCATTCAAATTCAAGAGACACTAGTGTAAGGCTACAGTGTTACGTTTTTTCAATTTACCTAAACTGTGAGCTTTTTAAAGCCAAAGACTGTTCTTTGTTTTGTTTTGTCTTTGTATACTAGCATGTGAAAGGAAACAGTGGTTCAATGACTTGTAATTATGAGGAATTCCCTGTAGACTCCCCTTCAGTCCTTCTGTTGACAGACGACGTCAGTGTCTATTCTATGAAGTGGTCATCCCAGCCCCACTCACACAGCCCCAGATGTAGAGCATTCTTTATAGTTCTAATTGTTAGAAAGTTTCCTCATTCCAAACTGAAACCTTCCCCCAGGCGTCATAATTCTGCCCTCCTGCAAGTCCTCTTCTGAGAGCCCTTCTCCAGCCTCACCCGGCACCCCCGTCACTTGTTTCCAAGTCTGAGCCTGTCCAGACTGTGAGCTCCCCAGGCAGGGACTATAGCTGTATCACCCATGGCCCCTCAGGACCAGCCCAAGGCCTCACATGCAGATGCCCAGTAATGCCTGTTGAGTCAGCAGATGAGCTCTATCCTAAGAGCAGTCTCTTCTCATTACACGTTCCTGATTTTTCTGCTCTTCATAAAATGTGACCTCCAGACTCTACCCCACTGCCCTCGTCTCAACAGGCTCCACTTGGCTAACATGCCCTTAACCTGTGTTGCTTGAAGATAACACCCCTGGTGTGGTCTGGCCAGTGCATGGTGTGTTATTGGGGACATGGAGATATATCAGACTTGGTTCCTGTCTTCAAGCAGTGTCACTGGGGACTGAGGACTTGAAGACACATCAGACATGACTCCTGTCTTCAAGGAGCTCACAGCTTTGTGGAGGAGACACACCAGTAAAGAAAGTTCACAGCAACCAGTTATAAGGACCATGAGAGAAGTTTGCATGGGTACTGTGGAACACAGAAGTGAGTAATCTTAACAGGGAACAGGGGAAGAAAAGGCTCAAGTGACTCCTAGGTTGTAAGTAAGAGAAAAATCTAGCTCTAACTCAATGAAAAACAGTATCCTAGATCTGGTAACTAAAGAGTCTGGGGATAGACATTAGCACAGATTCATCCCTGGGGTGGGAAATAGCAAGACACTCCAGTATTCTTGCCTGGGAAATCCTGTGGACAGAGGAGGGAGCCGGTCAGGCTTTCTTCACCCTTTTCTTCACTTTCTTCACCTTCTCTTTCACCCATTGCCCAGAGGAGACTGAAAAGGAATGGGAGGATCCCACCCTGACTGTTGCCACTGCCCCTGCTTGCTCGTCCCACTTGCCCCGCCAAATGCTCACACACTTCTTCACCTATCAAGGGCCTCACC